TCTCATGATATTTATTTTAGCACAACTGGGCTGTATTAGGCTATTGATTCCCGTGATCTTGCTTTTATATATCGATTCAGCCATTAGCCTACCTTCGTGATCACGCAAAGAGGACTGCAGTCCGTTCAGAACTCCAACCAACATAAAATATAAATAATTACGCTGTGCATGTACAAAGGAATGATTTAGGAGGGAAATAGACTGCTCCCATAACGTAGAAAGCAATTACTATATACAGCAATGTTCGGTAAATATTCAACCGAAAAATATTCTTCATAAAATTAAACCGGAGAGATAGTTAAAGGTTCTCTAAGCGATCCTGGGTGACGTCACTTCTTGTTGACGTTCGAACTATTGTCAAACAAAACGGAGGCTAGCTAGACCCTCCCTCCTCCTCATCCGCACACTAACCCCCCAAACCACACCCCCAAACCCTTCTTGTCGGTCATTGGCTGGAACAGTTTGTTATGTTTTGGGGAGCGGGTCGCCGCAGTTTGTTTTTGGTGCTGTTTGTGAAGCATGGGCTGTCTACAGAGATCGCGTTTCTTTACAGTGTGTTCAGGGGACAGGCAGCCAGCGGATAGTGAGGAGATGTTTGCTGTATGTGACAAAAAATGTTTTGGCCTAAAAAACACATGACATCGCTTAGAGCACCTTTAATGAGTGAATTAACTATGTTCCTAAATACATATAAGCATATTCATAACCCTAACCCATTTAAATAAATGAATTGTGTGTGTGTGTATGTATAATATTATAAATAGGCTATATATATACATATATACATACATATAAAATATTATAAAAAATATTATTTACATCAGTTAGCTAACGTTAGTGAAGTGTTGGTCACGTAAGCTATCGCTGCAATTAACCTATTATCTTCCAATAAACATTTACTAAAACTGGCTACATAAAATATAACTACAGACTAGATTCACGAGAGGTCGGCTAATGTGTGTAAAAGTAAAAAAAAAACAGTAATTTCATTAATTTACCAGCGAGCGTACTTCGGAAGCACTGAAAATGAATGGGGTTCAATGGAGAAACTATCAGTGTTTGGAACTATCGGCCGCTCCACGACACGCGTTACTTCCGCATTCCAGAGTTCCTATGGCGGTCTATGGGAGTGTGCAACTCTCTCTCTCCATGGCTCTGAACGCGTGTAACCGTATATTGGATCCATGCATTAGCTCTTAAAGTGGCAGCAGCCTGATATTACTGTTATTGTTTGATTAACATTTAATGACACTGAATTTAAGCAAAGATAAAATCACTCACTGTACTTGAATGAATAACTCTAGTAGCTTTAGGGATTAATCTTTATTTATTGTATAAGGTGAAGACTTTGCAGTGCTATTTTATATTGGATTACTTTATTCAGTTTCTTTTGTAGGTTATTAGTTATCTGAATACCACTGTTAGTACATCTCCCTGGAAAACTTAAATCACTGTTTATTTAGTTTTTATCTTTTGTTTTGTTGTATTTTGTAATTAGTTTCCTTGTCTTGTGCTACCTGTAGCTGTTTTGAGGACTAACTGTTTACTTGGCTATTAATCTAGTATTAGTTTTTGCTGATGTAGCCTAATAAACTTATCCATAATTGTGAATAATTGTTTTACTGTTATCTAAAATTACTCATCTCATGAAATAAGACTTTGATTGATAATCTTGATTTCAATATCGACCACAATAATCGTGATTTATTATTTTTTTGCCATAATCGAGCAGCCCTACTTTGAATTGCTGATGGGGTCCATCTTATGATGGACTTTAATATAGGTTAGTCATAGTAATAATTCAATTGTCCTGATTTCATTTTTTTGGTGACATTGCGTAATAAGCCATTGCATTTTGGGTATAGGCATTGGTAAAATATTTAGTCATTTCTTTTTAAATGACATTGTTTTCACCAGTTATCTAGAGTCATGTAATATTGATAGAATTTCTGCAAATGTTTATCATAGTTTTGTGAATTATCATTATCGTGCTTGAATGCACCTCTGTTGATCTCACACAGTGATCGGCCATCTGCTCTATTGTTAATTTGAGGGTTAATACTGAATCGGGTTTCTATTGTGTGCCGAGCGTGTGTGTTTTAAGAGTGTTTTGGGAAACCCTCCATCTACTGGTGTTGAAACTGAGGTCCCCATCCCCCCTAAAGCAGGTCATGTGAGTTTATGTAAACTCTGTGGTTTCACTTCTTTAATGGTTTCACATATACGTTCACTTTGCTCTTTCTTTCTCCCTAACACTACATGGCATTTGAAATTCACTTTTAGTAAAGCTCAAACTGAGACTACAAAGAAAGCATCAGTTAATGGCAAATATTGGATTTTTTTGTTTTTAATAAATAAAATGCATAATGAAATAAAATATAGGCAGGGTTAACACTCAAAAGTTAATCTTTAAATCACAGATTTAATACAACTTAAACATAAATCTTAAAATGAATATATATGTTTTATACTGTAAATTGCAATGTTATGATGCCTAAATTGACTTGTATAATTTAAAACAATTTCAGGTTTTGGTGTTTTTATTTAATCTATTTAGACGCAATTCTATAGAACTTGAATATTATGTAATCGTTATTAGCCATAACATCAAATGATTCCAGTATTGGCCAGATTTGTAATGTTGGTCCAATACTGACAATGTAACAGGTCAATTAGATGTTGAATTATGCATAAATACAGTAAAAAAAAAGAAAGAAAAGTGAATTCTGTGCCACTAGCTAGCATCACCATGTGGATTTACAAAAACAAAAGCCATTTTTAAACCAGTTTCTGGTTTAAAAGTTCTCCAAATGAATCTCGCCTATAAAAATGAGTAGAAAGATGTAATCTGTATACTCTCCTGGCATGTCGTTGACTAAAACTGCCTATCGATCATGTTCTCTGGGCATCATGAAATCTTAATTCCCTGGAGGAATAAGGACACGTTATACCCTGAGCAAGCTTCGCTCAATATCTCGGGTAACATCGTTACATCAGGGTCGGTCTCATTAACTTTTGACATCAGGCAGCAGCGAGTGTCCAGGCCGAGGGTTAGCGATACACGCGCCGCTCAGATAACCTGCTCTAATGTTAATGTTCTCCTCAAGAGTTTTCTTTCTTTACAGGCTCCTTTGGTCTTGTCCTGTTTTAATGTCGGTTAGTTTGTTGGATAAAAGCTTGTTCGTCAATGGCTTTACTTTTTGAGTTTCAAGCTTCACATAAACTCGACACAAATTAGTAAAAAAGTTAAAGGGATAGTTCACCCAAAAATGAAAACGGTCTTTTACTCGCCCTCATGTCATTCTAAACCCAGAAGACTGTTCATCTTCTGAACGCAAATGAAGATATTTTAATGAAAGTCCATTCAACCAAAACTTAGACACTTAAACTTCATAAAAACGTCGTAAAAGTAATCCATATGAATTGAGAGGTTTAAGCAAGTACAGTTGAGCTTTAGTGTTTGCCATGTTTGATGTGCTATGAATATGCATTGATCAACTCTTTTAGCCGTCAGTTTTGGTGGAATGGACTTTCAATGGAGGAGCAGAAATCACTCGGGGGGTTTTTATTAAAAATGTCTTCATCTGTGTTTCGAAGATGAAGGTCTACAGGGTCTGGGTTTGGAACAACATGAGGGTGAATAACTCATTTTTTGGTGATCTTTCCCTTTAAGGGTCACAAGGTAGCTACATTTCAAATCTTTTTAAGAGGCAATAACATTTTATTTAATACATTTACATACCGTGTCAGAAAGCGCAGTAAACGGAAGTATTTAACTAAATATATTTTGCTTCAAAACAACCTTCTGGGCACTCTTTCCGCGATCACTATCGATTTAAAAGATATTTTCTTTGTCAAATACACGAGTCTTTATATTCAGTTGTTACTAGTGCACGTTGGAAAAAATACTTCTCCATCCAATAGGACCACTGCTGCAGGACAAATGTACAAAAATAAATAATTTAGTCTGTTTGGAAAGGATTATCAAGACCATTTGTGATAAGAAGCGACTCCAGGTTGCTGGTGGAGTCTGTTTGAGTCTTTCGAGTCCCTTTTCAGAGACCGTTAAACCACAGGGGGCCAAAACTTCATTCATCACATATCAAGTCTGTGCGAGTCCTGTTCCTGTCACGTCACCATGTCTGTTTCTCATCCCATGTTTCTTTTTCAGAACTACTGAAGGTCTGTGTGCTTGTCTGATTGACTGATAGCCTCCTTTATCTTGAGTGTGATGTAGTCGAGCGACAGTAGGTCATAGGCTCCTGTCCTGTGCTGCATGTGTAAATGTTGATATCTGATGTGAAATCAATCCCTGAATGAAACGTCTTTTATAACGTCAATTGCCCTGTTCGTCGTCTCATAACACCGCATGATGACCGGGGAAGAGATTATGCACTGTAACTAGAGCTGGGCGATGTACAGGGATTTAATTTTTGCTATAAAACTGTTTTTAAAATAGTCACGTTAAAATAATTAGGCCTGTTTTTCCACTAAATGACATTTGTGCAGCAGCATTTGTTTCAGTTAAAAATCTGTAAATTGTCCGGGAACATTTGACTCGAGGTAATTGTTGAAGTCTACTTTTTTTAAATGGCAATCGTGAGCTGATTCGTGGATTCGAATCATGGAAATGAATCAGACCAACATACTTTATACTGCCTAATTTTCATCGCGAATATATTGTGAACATTCAATATATCGCCCAGCCCTAACTGTAAATACATTTGTCAGTTTCTCTTCGGTTTTCTCATCTCACTGTTATATGTGATTTTTCCGTTAGAGTGGCTTCTTTTATTCGAGGTGGACCGCGTCGTTCGCCGGTTTCAGGCGGCCTGCGCAAAACATCTCAAATAAAAGAAACAATGCCCTTCGATTTTCCCCTCATGGTACTTCATCTTGGTATTTTTGAATGAATCATGCCCCATGTTTATCATTTTTTTTGTTTCTTTGTGTTTGTTTTTCTTTTTGTTTGTTTTTGTTTTTTTACTTTCTGTGCACAGCAATTGCTCTGAAATTTGGGGACTGAGTACACCAAATACGATAGAACAGTGGGATACCTCAGGCCTTTACAGCTACCCTGACCAAACCAGGTGAATATCCTCTGCTGACATTGTGCCACACTCACCCCACAAGCCACAGGTGGGGATGAACGAGCACAGGGGGCTCCAGGGGCCGTGTAATAACCTGCTTTAGTATTGTTTAAATATCGTAATGATGGCTTCACTTATTTTATTGTAGAGTTTTAACTCTGAATGTTACAATAGATTTAAAGCAGATCGACATATTTTCATAACTCATACACTTCACTAAAGAAACAGTTTAAAACGGTGGTTCTCAACTGGGTTTACTGATTTTACTCTGAAATGGTGACCCAACCCATTGCCAAATTTATGCAGAAGTAATCGTGTCCTCTGTCTTTTTTTATGTTTACCTATATATCGTTCAAAGATTTGGGGTCAGCAAAAAATAATTTTTATGAAAGAAATTAATACTTTTATTCAGCAAGCATATATTTAATTGATCAATTTACCAGTTAAAGATATATTTATAATGTTACAAAAGATTTCGATTTCTAATAAATGCTGTTCTTTTGAACCTTCTAGTCATAGTTGTGCTGCTTCATATTTTTGAAGTTCTGGTTCTGTTAACATTAATAATCAGAAATTCATCATATTAGAATGATGCAACACTGAAGACTGGAGTAATGATGCAGAAAATTCAGCTTTGAGCACAGGAATAAATATAATTTTACAATATATTCACATAGAAAACAGCTATTTTAAATTCTGTTCTTGATCAAATAAATGCAGCCTTGATGAGCTGAGGAGACTTTCATAAAGATTTGAAAAATCTTACAGGCTCAACTTTTGAATGGTTGCGTATTATATAGTTATGCCGTTTGATTGGATGCGTATCAAAATTAGGGCCCCACTTTTTATTAGGTGTCTTTAACTGCTATGTACATGCATAAAAAAAGAAGGTTGGGTTAAGGCGTTATCTAACTGTAGTTGTAATTACAGAAATAGATGCAGTTATTTTATTTTTAATATAAGTACTCTTTAAAAACATGTAAACAATAAATGCATTGTATCAAATTATTCATTTAAAAGTTAACACCATAGTCAATGACACTTAATATAAAGTGGGACCAAATTAATATTAAGCCCCCCCCCCCCAACACACACACACACACACACACACACTTTAAGACTTTGCACTGTTATATGGTTAGTTGCTTTTAAAATGTTTTTTTCCTTCTCCCTTGATGTATACAACCCATTTTTGGGTCACGACAACCCACCAGTTGAGAACCATTGATTTAATATAGTAGTATTCCGTTATTGTGTATAAACATTCAGGATCTTTAATCGTAATGGTTTAACCTTGGTCGTGATTTGCTGTCTAATCGCATCACCTTCCCTCTTCCCTCCATCCATGCATGTCTTTCTCTGGTCATTTGGCACACTCCCTTCTCCTCCATTTCTCTCGCCCTCTCTCTGTGGATGCTCGGGTCAGATCTCTGGACGGGCGTCTGCAAGTGTCTCACCGTAAAGGTCTGCCTCATGTCATCTACTGCCGCCTGTGGCGATGGCCCGACCTGCACAGCCACCACGAGCTGCGCGCCATCGAGACCTGCGAGTACGCCTTCAACCTCAAGAAGGATGAAGTCTGCATCAACCCCTACCACTACCAGCGGGTGGAGACGCCAGGTGTGGAAATTGGCAGCTGAGTTGCCAGGAAAAGATTCGAGTGGTTTTTCTGAACGCTTCCTAATGTGTGAAATTTGAACCGAGTGTTCACTCAGTCCTCTCGATTCTGAATGTCTCTCCTGTAGTTCTTCCTCCCGTCCTCGTGCCAAGACACACAGAGATCCTGACTGAGCTGCCTCCTCTGGACGACTACACCAACTCCATACCTGAAAACACCAACTTCCCAACAGGGATAGAGCCCCCTAACAATTACATACCAGGTAGGAACGCACGTCTCGCACCATATGTCTCACCCAATCGTTTCACACCAAAATTAAGGCCGAAGACCTTATGCGCTATTGTGTAGTTTAAGGCCTAATGACTATAACGATAACAAAGTCCACAAAAAGACTATAATGATGACGGCACAGAGAAACAATATCGTTGGACTCACTTGCAGAATGATTTAATCTAACTGATGAACGAGCCAATCCGAATCCATCCTTCTTTAAAGAGCTCGACCATTTTAAACTGCAGCATGCTTGGAATAAAGAAAGATATTGTTCCTTGGTGTGGACGCGAATATAGTTATTTTTATAGTTCTCTTTCTTGGTGTGAACGGGCCTTTAGAGTAAATTGGTGATCTTTGTTTTTGATTTCTAAATCTGTTCAGAAACTCCTCCCCCGGGATACATCAGTGAGGATGGAGAGGCCAGCGACCAGCAGATGAATCAAAGTATGGACACAGGTACATTCCCACAGTGACATCACTACATGGGAATGACAGCCACGTGTGTGTGTGTGTGTGTGTTTTAGACTCTAAAGCACAATCCACTTTTACTGCTGTAGTTTCCTTTCCAAGCTCCATCTAGACTGACTGTAGGATAATGAACCTCTGAAACCTACCTGGACAAAGTTGTATAGTGTATTCCAGTCTATAATACAGTTGTGTAGTGTATTCCAGTCTATAATAAACATGTTCTATTTATAGACTGGAATACACTACACGACTTTATTATAGACTGGAACACACTACACGACTTTATTATAGACTGGAACACACTACACAACTGTATTATAGACTGGAATACACTACACAACTGTATTATAGACTGGAATACACTACACGACTTTATTATAGACTGGAACACACTACACAACTGTATTATAGACTGGAACACACTACACAACTGTATTATAGACTGGAATACACTACACAACTGTATTATAGACTGGAATACACTACACAACTGTATTATAGACTGGAATACACTACACAACTGTATTATAGACTGGAACACACTACACAACTGTATTATAGACTGGAATACACTACACAACTGTATTATAGACTGGAACACACTACACAACTGTATTATAGACTGGAATACACTACACAACTGTATTATAGACTGGAATACACTACACGACTTTATTATAGACTGGAACACACTACACAACTGTATTATAGACTGGAACACACTACACAACTGTATTATAGACTGGAATACACTACACAACTGTATTATAGACTGGAATACACTACACAACTGTATTATAGACTGGAATACACTACACAACTGTATTATAGACTGGAACACACTACACAACTGTATTATAGACTGGAATACACTACACAACTGTATTATAGACTGGAACACACTACACAACTGTATTATAGACTGGAACACACTACACAACTTTATTATAGACTGGAATACACTACACAACTGTATTATAGACTGGAATACACTACACAACTGTATTATAGACTGGAACACACTACACGACTGTATTATAGACTGGAACACACTACACGACTGTATTATAGACTGGAACACACTACACGACTGTATTATAGACTGGAACACACTACACAACTGTATTATAGACTGGAACACACTACACGACTGTATTATAGACTGGAACACACTACACGACTGTATTATAGACTGGAATACACTACACAACTGTATTATAGACTGGAACACACTACACGACTGTATTATAGACTGGAACACACTACACAACTGTATTATAGACTGGAACACACTACACGACTGTATTATAGACTGGAATACACTACACAACTTTATTATAGACTGGAATACACTACACAACTGTATTATAGACTGGAACACACTACACGACTGTATTATAGACTGGAACACACTACACGACTGTATTATAGACTGGAATACACTACACAACTTTATTATAGACTGGAATACACTACACAACTGTATTATAGACTGGAACACACTACACAACTTTATTATAGACTGGAATACACTACACAACTTTATTATAGACTAGAATACACTACACAACTTTATTATAGACTGGAATACACTACACAACTTTATTATAGACTGGAACACACTACACAACTGTATTATAGACTGGAATACACTACACAACTTTATTATAGACTAGAATACACTACACAACTTTATTATAGACTGGAATACACTACACAACTTTATTATAGACTGGAATACACTACACAACTGTATTATAGACTAGAATACACTACACAACTGTATTATAGACTGGAACACACTACACAACTGTATTATAGACTAGAATACACTACACAACTGTATTATAGACTGGAACACACTACACAACTGTATTATAGACTGGAACACACTACACAACTGTATTATAGACTGGAATACACTACACAACTGTATTATAGACTGGAACACACTACACAACTTTATTATAGACTAGAATACACTACACAACTTTATTATAGACTAGAATACACTACACAACTTTATTATAGACTAGAATACACTACACAACTTTATTATAGACTGGAATACACTACACAACTGTATTATAGACTGGAATACACTACACAACTGTATTATAGACTGGAACACACTACACAACTGTATTATAGACTGGAACACACTACACAACTGTATTATAGACTGGAATACACTACACAACTGTATTATAGACTGGAATACACTACACAACTGTATTATAGACTGGAATACACTACACAACTGTATTATAGACTGGAACACACTACACAAATTTATTATAGACTGGAACACACTACACAACTTTATTATAGACTAGAATACACTACACAACTTTATTATAGACTGGAATACACTACACAACTGTATTATAGACTGGAATACACTACACAACTGTATTATAGACTGGAACACACTACACAACTGTATTATAGACTGGAATACACTACACAACTTTATTATAGACTGGAATACACTACACAACTTTATTATAGACTAGAATACACTACACAACTGTATTATAGACTGGAATACACTACACAACTGTATTATAGACTAGAATACACTACACAACTGTATTATAGACTGGAACACACTACACAACTGTATTATAGACTGGAACACACTACACAACTGTATTATAGACTGGAACACACTACACAACTGTATTATAGACTGGAACACACTACACAACTTTATTATAGACTAGAATACACAACTGTATTATAGACTGGAATACACTACACAACTGTATTATAGACTGGAACACACTACACAACTGTATTATAGACTGGAACACACTACACAACTGTATTATAGACTGGAACACACTACACAACTGTATTATAGACTGGAATACACAACTGTATTATAGACTGGAATACACTACACAACTGTATTATAGACTGGAACACACTACACAACTGTATTATAGACTGGAATACACTACACAACTGTATTATAGACTGGAACACACTACACAACTTTATTATAGACTAGAATACACAACTGTATTATAGACTGGAATACACTACACAACTGTATTATAGACTGGAACACACTACACAACTGTATTATAGACTGGAATACACTACACAACTGTATTATAGACTGGAACACACTACACAACTTTATTATAGACTAGAATACACTACACAACTGTATTATAGACTGGAACACACTACACAACTGTATTATAGACTGGAACACACTACACAACTTTATTATAGACTAGAATACACTACACAACTTTATTATAGACTGGAATACACTACACAACTTTATTATAGACTGGAACACACTACACAACTGTATTATAGACTGGAATACACTACACAACTTTATTATAGACTAGAATACACTACACAACTTTATTATAGACTGGAATACACTACACAACTTTATTATAGACTGGAATACACTACACAACTGTATTATAGACTAGAATACACTACACAACTGTATTATAGACTGGAACACACTACACAACTTTATTATATACTAGAATACACTACACAACTGTATTATAGACTGGAACACACTACACAACTGTATTATAGACTGGAACACACTACACAACTTTATTATAGACTGGAATACACTACACAACTTTATTATAGACTAGAATACACTACACAACTTTTTAAAATTTGAACAGATTTCAAAACACTAGGCATCATACACATGCCACCTTTGTAAATGGTTACTGAGGGAAAAAACTAGTCCTCAAACAGTAAACGGCACACTACTAGATTTTCAAGTCGTTCCAAACTCAAACTCAGCACTGTGTGGCTGCAAGGCGCACGACAAATGAAAACAAAATGTGATCTAAACTCGGCTCAATGTCAAACATGTTTGATCGCCCATCCAGACTGGAATTCATGACTAAAGTCTGGACTAAAGTCTTGTAGTGTTGGTTTCAGTCAACTGTTTTTGCTTCAGGATCCAGATTTTACAGGCATCAAGTGGCGACCTGACAGAAGTTATGTTATGGTAGTAACGCCACCTCACTTAAATTTAATCATACTTAGAATTTCTTTAGTCGCAAATTTCACTTCAGGTTTTCTAAATACATTTTATTGATTTTATTATGAACAATTCATCCATGAATATGTTATTATATTTAAATGCAACTCAATCTTCCATTGGAGTGACAGACTTCTCTCTGGTGACATCATCTGCAAGTTTCAACAACCGATGGATCGAACCAAGTCCTTTCCCTATTCTCTGTGTTTATGATAACCTGTTTTACTCCGATATACATCTCAACATTGCAACTTATTCAGTTTTCAACCCAGTGTACCAAGAATTTCCACTTTAGTGCAATGCTGTCTTTTGTTATTGCTCATACGCAGGGTTCCAGGTCTAAACAGACCCCTAAATTAAACATTAAACTTCAGCTGTGTTTCAGACAGGAATGATGCCTCAAATCATGTGTCCATTGATAGACTATAACATTTTTACATTGGCAAGCACCAAATAAACCAGTTATTTCTTGTTGCTGCCATTATCTCTATTATTGTAAGGAAAAGCTCTTCTTTTTGTCAGGTTCTCCTGCAGAACTGTCGCCAAGCACACTCTCGCCTGTCAATCATGGCATGGGTAAGAGCCGATTATCTGCTTAACCTCACTCTTGATAGCCATTATGTTGACATCTTGACCATTTCTTAAGATTGAGGACTTCAAAGATCCATGCACAGTTAATACAAGACTGTCAACTTGTTCGCTTATATTGGTCTTCCTCATCTCTGCTTTAGACCTGCAGCCAGTGACTTACTCGGAGCCTGCGTTTTGGTGCTCCATAGCTTACTATGAACTCAACCAGCGGGTGGGAGAAACGTTCCACGCCTCTCAGCCTTCCCTCACCGTGGACGGCTTCACAGACCCCTCCAACTCAGAGCGCTTCTGCCTGGGCCTGCTGTCCAACGTCAACCGCAACGCCACCGTGGAGATGACCCGGAGACACATAGGTATCCAAGACATCTTCAGCTGGTCTACTGTCAAGTGTTTCAGTTGAAATTAAGGGACAGTTCACCCAAGAGCTAAAATCGACATCTTACATTTGCTTTCACGTCATTCTGAACCTGTATGATGTGCTTTAGTTTAGTCTACAGAACACAGAAGACCTCAGTAGGGCTTTTCACGCTGTGCTTAACCCCGGGTTATCATTGTTCTAAACCCTGCTTTTAACCCTGGGTAAAGCCCCGGCTAGATGCTTGGCAACAGACAGCCAATCACATGCCTCGCATGCTTTGCAAGTCACAGGAACAGCATGTGTTGAATAAACATTAGGCTGTGTTTCAGCGGTTGAGGGGGAAAATGTCAAATGGTGACATAGTGTGCTATTGTTGTGAAGAAGAGACCGTTCAATTCTTACCTTTATAGTCTGATAGTTCAGTCGGCAATATATAATCCAAGGATGTGCAATGCTAGACCCTTTATGTAAACAGTACATGTGTTCGTCCAATCAGTGACATTGACACCTCAAATATGCAAACAAGGATGTTAACCCAGGGTTTAGGAATGACATCTTATGAATACCCAGGATAAATTGTTAACCCCGGGTAAATTATGAGCAGTGTGAAACGTGAAGCAGAATAACCCAGGATTGGTTACCCGCGGTTCAGAATAACCCAGGATTAACTAGTTCAAGTGTGAAAAGCCCTATTTACTTTCTTTAATGAAACAAAATATTTTGAATCTGGTCTTTTCTTGTCCATACAATGAAAGTTAATCATGCAGAAGCAACATGAGGATGAGTAAAAGATGATGATTTTCAATTTTGGTTGACCTGTCCCTTTGTATGTACCAAGACAATTTTAGACTCCTGCACAATGGTCACATGTACAATATAAAGTTCTCACTGCTGTTTGTCTTTGATCAGGTCGAGGGGTCAGGCTGTATTATATTGGTGGGGAAGTGTTTGCCGAATGTCTTAGCGATAGTGCCATCTTCGTTCAAAGCCCTAACTGTAATCAGAGGTATGGCTGGCACCCTGCAACAGTCTGTAAAATCCCCCCAGGTAAGAGACTCACTCACTTCCAGCGTCCATGCTACTACAGGTGGGCAGTAAAGCGCTAGACAATAAATGGGGACAAACTTGTCATCCAGTAGTTTTTTGTGTAAGATTTTTGTCTCTGTCGTGGTTGCGCTCGTGACTTTTGCGGTGCTGCATCGCCATTAAAGTTTATAATTTGCATGTTTTTTTAAGCCTTACCAGTTTAAATACTAATGGGTAACACTTTATTTTAAGGTGCTTGTAATAAGCAGTAATTAACAGTTAATAAGACACTTATAAGACCTTATAAGATACATATAAGATGCATATAAGCATTAATTATAATAAATAAATTAAATTAAATAATAAATTTCTCAAGTTTCAATACATTGCACTTTTAGAACAGCCGAACAAACATAAATGGTAACACAAACTCCCATTCCCTTAAAAATGTACCTTCCCAAGAGGGAGTAGTTTCCCTGATCTCTTCAGGGCCTGGACCTTTAATTAACCCTTATATGAAGTAGTTAATGCTTATATGCATCTTATAAGGTCTTATAAGTGTCTTATTAACTGTTAATTACTGCTTATTACAAGCACCTTAAAATAAAGTGTTACCTACTAATGTCATTTAAAATCGTTAAATCTGCGAAAGTTGACTCAATCTGGGACTCGAGTGCTGTCTGAGAGCCGGTTTCTGTGCATGTACACTAGTTTTGGATCGGTAACGTTTTTTTTTGTTTAAGTCTCTTCTGCTCACCAAGGCTGCATTTATTTGATTAAAAATACATTTTGGGACATTATAAATGTCTTAACTGTCACTTTTGATCAATTTAATTCATCCTTAATGAATAAAAGTATTAATTTCTTTTATTTATTTCCCGCAAAAATTAAATAAAAATTCTACCTGACCCCAAACTTTTGAAGGGTAGTGTTTAATATTACAAAAGCTTTCTATTTCAGATAAATGCTGTTCTATTGAACTTTCTATTCATCGAATCCTGAAATAAAAATGTAAAAAAAAACTGTTCAACATTAATAATAATAATGAATGTTTCCTGAGCATATCAGAGTGATTTCTGAAGGATCATGTGACACTGAAGACTGGAGTAATGATGCTGGAAATTCAGCTTTGATCACAGGAATAAATTAAATTTTTTGCTATATATTCTCATAGAAAACAGCCGTTTTAAATTGTAATATTTCACAATATTACAGTTTTTTTGTTGTTGTATTTTTAATTGAATAAATGCAGCCTTGGTGAGCAGAAGAGGCTTCTTTTAAAAACATTAGAAATCTTACCGATCCCAAACTTTTGACCGGTAGTGTATATATGAAGCCGCCGGTCACGCAGCGTCCCAGAACCGACTTTTTCACCATTTATTGCACTAAAAGAACATGCTTGTCTTGGCGGGTATTCATAGAAACACAGTCGGTAAATCAATGTGTATTCACAGTAAAGTAAAAGGCAAAAAAGACACTGCATAGTCTTCATTCAAATTCTGTAGTATAAATTTAAGCCCTGTTTATTTAATTTCTATCTTTTTTTTCTGTTGCATTTTTGTCATATTGCTTGTAATTAATTTAACTCTTATTTTATTACTAATTGTTTTCTTGTCTTCTATAAGCTTGAACTTTTTTTACTTGCATTTGTTAGACTAGTATTTGTTTTTTTACTGTGATATCAAAAATGGTATTGATAATTATGAAATTTCAACGGTTTCTAAAATGTTGTTGTCGTAACAACCTTATTTCAGGGGGAAACTAACTTGTGATATATATTGTTATTGTGAAATAAAATGACTCGTATCGTTTGATAAGAGTTTGGTCATATCGCTCGCCTTACGTTGTACCATCCATCAGAACGTGCCGATTTACGTCAACTATTGACATCATGAATGATATCCTCTTTCTTAGGCTGTAACCTGAAGATCTTCAATAACCAGGAGTTTGCGGCACTGCTGGCTCAGTCGGTGAACCAGGGCTTTGAGGCTGTATATCAGTTGACCAGGATGTGCACCATTCGCATGAGTTTCGTCAAAGGCTGGGGAGCCGAGTACAGGTATGGACAAGCTCTGCCAATAGCAGACATCTTAAATAGTGCATCTTTTTATAACACAATAAACGTTCTCCGGGATGGGAGTATGATCTGTATTCAGATTAATTTAGCTATAGTTATAGAAGGTGGAAAAACTCATCTTATAACTACACTAAATGCAACCCCAATGACCAAATTTAAGGTGGCATGGTAAATATGCCAAGGAGGCACTTCAGTATTACTGTTATAAATTATTGTTTTTAGTCAAATTATCGACTCCACCTCAAGCCCCCTTCACGTCAAATGTGAATGTGTGGCACAAATGTTTGAAGACTTTGAATAGAAATCATTAATTCCTGTGGAGCTGTTAAGTGTTGTTTTACTATATTTAATATGTAAATGCATGTGGTTCCTTTTGAGAGAAGTAAAGGTTAATTTGCACTTGCAGTGAAATGTATGAATTAGTGCTGTCAAACGATTAAAATATTTAATCGCGATTAATCACATTAATGTCATAGTTAACTCGCGATTAATCGCACATTTTTATCTATTCTAAATGTCTCTTGATTTTTTTTGTCCCATTATTTTTTTCTAATTTTAATGCTCTTATCAACATGGAAAAGTGGATCGGCTTGCTCTGTGCAAATGTTTTTTATTGAAAACAACACTGGCATATACTGTGTTCAATTTCACACTAACATTCTCACTTGGAGCAAATAATCTCTCACACAATGTAACACTGTCCATCAATAAAAGGGTTAAAGAAATACTGACGAGGTCCTGATATTGACGAGTGGGCGGAGAATTCGCATCAGCTGTGTGTGTGTGTGTGTGTGTGTGTGTGTGCTTGGCCATCAACAAGTGGTATTTCAGACTGGACGTGCTGCGATGATGATGATAGCTCAGTTCACTACGACAAAACACACAGATCACTTTGGTCTTTTCAATGGAACCATTTGGCAACTTTTTAAAAGTAAACTTTCCATTCAGAATCTTATTGGCATCCATTTCGGCGTCTCGCGCTCGTCATCCACTCAAAACGTAACGTTAACCTACTATTTGGCCGGCTCGCAACAAGTGTGTTTCCAGTCTAGCTAGATCCGGTGCGTTCAGAAAGGACGCGGAATGCACGGCGCTACGCCAGTTTTCAAAACTTTTTGGATGCCAAAACGTTTCTATTGGCCGCGCTGGTAATCGTCACAGCGGCAAAAGTTGAACTATTTTGAATTTTGACCGCGGTGTGCGCGGCGCAACGTCCTCGCGCGGCGCAAGCCATTGAAATGAATGGGTTTCATAGCGCAGCGCATGCCGCGTCCGGTTGCAAAAGCATGTGAAAAAAAACAACAAAGTTTGCAAGGCCAAAAAGACTGTTAATCGCGCGATAAAAAGATTAATCGCGTTAAAATGGGTTTGCGTTAATGCCGTCAATAACGCGTTTAACTGACAGCCCTAGTATGAATCAATATTTCTCAAAATGAATAAACAGGGGAATACAAACACTGAATAGTATGCAAACCTCCTATAATTAATATTAAATGCAAATGTACTTTATGCACTTAATCTCACTTTATTTACCAATGTCTTTGCTGTTGACCTTAGATTATCCAATTCAACCATCCAAATCACCCAAATGACTTTACATTAAGGGTCTCGTGTGTCACTTTTGTATTTTTACTGCTGAAATGACTGTTGAGCTTGGCTTTCCTGTTCTCTTCTGTTTTTGATATCCTGATGCACAGTTAGGGTGTGTTCACACTTGGCATGTTTGGTGGGATTAAAATGAACTCTGGTGCGATTGCTCTGTTAGTGCGGTTCATTTGAGTAAGTGTGAACGCTGCCATCTGAACCCTGGTGCACCAAACAAGAGGAATATATGAATCTCGCTCCGCTTCCAAACAATCTCTGGTGCGGTTCGACTGAAATATGAACACAACGCGGACCAAAGACATGTTAACAAACCAAAAACAGGACATGATGTCACAAAAAAAGATGTAATACTCTAGCGTTCCTGTTTTTTCTCATCATAGTCGTGATGTTGCCCATCACAGTTCAGTACATCACGTCTCCTCGCAGCAGATCTTGGTGTGTGTGACGGAGGGTTTCCTGACGCTGTTTTGACTCCTTTACACATTTTAGTAGTTCTTTGTAAGTTGAGACTAATACCATAAAATGTACGCACATACAACAACAGCATTTTAGCCCAGCATTGGTGTGGATGTATGTCATAACAGCCATCCAATCAGGTTGTGATCTTATCCTTATTCCTCTTTTGTGTGTGTGTGCGTGTTAAAATGACAAACCAGGACTAAATGAACCTTTTTGTTTTTGGTCCATACCAGAAGACCCAAGAGAACCGAACTACAAGTGTGAACACATCCGTAGTTAACTACAACACCAGTCTTAAATGCATCAACCGAATCAAATCTAAGTTACTTTCTAGTTCACATGTGCTTGTAATTCCGGATATTAAAACTAGCATTGTTTCAAAACTGGAAAAAAATAAAACCATGCCAGTTTTGTGTACAGTATTGGTAGTACTTATGGTTAAAAATGACTTCCAGTCTTACCCCGTGGCAAAGGTGTAGCTCACGCATGTCAGTCAGGTTGTTGCTATGCTACTTTTTCAGGAGCTAATTAATATTCATGAGCCACGGCTTCACTCTAGCAGTTCCTACTGGAGGTTTTTCACCTTAGTAACTTGATTTTCCTGTTGCCTATTCCCATGATGCACCCTGTGACCTGTCGTTTGTTGTTGTTGTGTAGACGGCAGACGGTGACGAGCACCCCGTGCTGGATCGAGCTTCACCTGAACGGCCCGCTGCAGTGGCTGGACAAGGTCCTGACTCAGATGGGCTCGCCCTCCGTACGCTGCTCCAGTATGTCCTAATCGACACGACCAAGCTCTCTGCCCCCCCCCACCCCCAAAAACGACTGATTCTACAATCACATCAACCGACAACAAGAACAACAGACTTACTATAACCCCGCCCCCTCTTTCTCTATCATAGTACTCGTGAGCCTTTCTCTCTCTCTCTCTCGTCTCCCGACACTGACGTTCTCACCGTTCGGACCGGAACGCAGCACTTGCTGTCTCATCAGCTTCATGCACCTTTAATTCTCTCTTGTTTTTCTTTCATAAACCCTCAATATTAAATGTATTAGTAGTAGAATATGAAATGTATATTGTTTTTTTTATTTTATTTGGATGGTTTTCGAGAAGGAGGGAAGGTGCGTATGATGTGTGGAAGTTCAAGAAGGCAGGAAATAACTTCACACACACACACTTGTAGCAGTAAGGCTTTTCCCCCCTTGATGAAGTAAATACTTTTCCTGGATGGCGATCCCAATCCGGTCGTTCAAGGAGGTTACTTTTTCTGGCAAAAAGTCACATTCTTTGTTTTTATACACGTTATGATTGTGTAGATTGGCGCGTAAAGACTTAATCATGTTTTTCGATTTCTTCAGTAATGCCAAAAGATACCTTTTTATTTGAATATTTTACGATTTCTCCCCCCCAAACCACTATATATGAATGTTGCCTTTGATTCGAGGTATGCTGCTGTAAGACATGCTTCTTTTATTCAAACTGATAGGAATGTTTAACGCAAGGAAAAAGCCCCTCGTTCAATTCGAACTTCAGAATTCACTTTTTATTCACTGGGTGAAATATTCACAGGTCGGCTGTGGAGTGGTTTTCTTCAGAAAGTGGCTTCTTTTAAGGACGAACAAAGACTTTCAAAGGTTATTAAAACGTCTCACACGGTCCAAATCTTTAAAAAAAAAAGATGAAAAAAACAAACAAACAAAAAATCTAAGTATTTAAGCTTTAAGTGTTAATAAACTAGGTTATCCTTCACACAATTACAAGATTTTTTGTTTCCCTTTATCTTTCTTTTAGCTACTTTTTGTATTTTCATGTATTTTTATATATAAATATATTTAAGATCTTTAAAGCTCTCTTCCTTTTTATTAGAATTGAATATTTTTTTAGATCATGCCCTCTTTTTAAAGGAACATGGCTTCATAATGAAATGTCCTATCATACGAAAACGTTATTTAGCATGAAACTTTTATAAGCGCAAATATCTTTTCTCCTCTTCCAATTCAAGCTGTTGTCCCGGTTAACGTTTCGCCCTGATCTTGAACCCCCCCCCTCCCCACAACACACACACACACACACACACACTTTGATTTTCTTTTAGTTGCTTTTCCTCCCATGTTCACAACACGATACGGTTTAACCCACCGCCCCTCAAAGTACGGCTACCCGAAGGGGACATTCAGCCTACGGGGACATCGGGGTGTTTTATTTGTTTGCAATTGGGGAAAAAAAGACTTCCAAACAGGGAGAACTGTGCAACTTTAGTGTGCGTGCTCGTTGTACAACTTTTACTAATGACTGTGATATAGCTGTCTGTTATTCTTTACTTGTTGTGGCAGTGACCAGGCGTTGCAAGTATCCATTCCCCTCTTCCCACCTCTGTCTCCATCTTTTCCTTCATTGATCTTACTACTCTTGCGATTGTACTTTACGTGCATCTAGTAAAAAGCTGACGAAGATGTTGTGGCCCGTTTTTAAAGCCCATCAGCGGCCAACAAGACACTGGGAACGTTCTGTTTGCCATTTTTGACTGGGTGTGGAAAGAAAACCAAATAGAACTGAAAGTGGACCAGACATATATGCATATAAATGTGTATATATAATTTTATTTGACTTTTTCTGTCATTTTTTTTCTCCTTTTGCAAAGCATTTAACAGTTGGTGAGCTTGTTTTACCATTAGAGAGATGTATTGGTAGGACGTGAACTTCAGGCGATAAGCTTTTCAGGCGTGTTGCATATGCAGACTTCATAAATACACTAATAAAAAGTTTTAATTCTCATGTTAAAGGCTGTCTTTCTCTCCCTCTCTCTCTCTTTGTTGCATAAACTATTGGTGTGTTCAAGTCCTCCTGGGAAGTCCCTTTCGTCGGAGCAAGATGGCAGTGTGTCTTCTCTTAATAAACTGCACTAAAATACAGCACTGTTTTTAAACTACTACTAGAAAAGGAAGAACAAAGATTGTGCATGCGGTGTTTTGCTTTTTATGTTTTTAATTAATTCATGAAGCCACTGTGAACTTTATCGTTGCACATTATATTACAATGCTGCTGAGGTAATTAGCTTAGTTTGTTGTAAATAAAAAAGCCTGATAATGTCGCTGCTAATGTTTCTCACTGACACCTCCCAACTCAAAGAAAATCCCGAGCTTCCCACTGGGATTTACACCTTTTTGTTGGTGTTCATCTGCGTCCGTTGTTTCCGACATGACTTGAAGGGTTTCTTGATGCCATTTATGTATCATATTTCACCTCAAGCATACTCTTTTCTGACAGTGCACTGGGTAAATACTGTAAGTACACTTATGTTTGAGAACGTTATACTTTAACAGATTTGTTGATTGTGCTGGAAATGATGCTGCTAATGTGAGAGACATAAATAATTTGTGTGAAACTTCAGTTACACTTTATTTTAAGGTGTCTTAGTACTGAAAAATGTATAATTACAGTGTAACTGAGTAATAATAATTAACTACATGTACTTACTATAGGTTTAGGGTTAGTTGCATGTAATTAGGCATAATTTACTGTTATTACTATAGTAACTATATGTAACAATGACACGTAAAATAAAGTGTTACTGAAACTTCTTAAATATTCACACAATAAATATTATGTGACCTTTTATATAAAAAAAGGACACAAGTTGCTGTTTGAAAATACAAAATTATTACTAAAGCTAAACGGTATACTACATGCTTCTCTCGTGTCTACAAGATTACATGAGGTAAAATGTGTCCTGAACGCTAATTATGAACTCAATGTGTCCGGTTATATATATATATACCTGTAGGATTTAGTTTGTGCCATAAATGGTGAATATGCAGAAGTATTACTGAGTGTCCTACAGCTGCTGGTGTCAGTTAGTAGCTTTTGTTTGTGCATGGCAGGATTTTTTAGTTTGCATCAAGACTACATGCCAATCCAAGCTGGATAAAAGTGAAGATAAGATGCACAACGATTGCCAAAGAGCCCAAAACATTTGTTAGGGTTTTCCTAGTAACAATAAAATTACTTCCGTACCTTGTGAATTGTGTGATCCTGAAATGTGGTGGTTATGTAATAGTGATATAATAAAAATGTGCAGAGCTTCATTCTGTGACACGGGTGGTTAGAGGTACTTTCCAAACATCTTTATTATTCATTATAGTAAATGGACTAATAGGGTAAAATCATTCAATCCATAGTCAGTGGCCATGATCCAACAGGTGTGAAGCTGCACAGGCTTTATTCTGGATGCGGAGAGGGAAAACTCTAGCCTGGTTAAAAACAGACCATTCTCAGTTGTAACCGAGTTATGGTCTGGCAAAGCGTCATAGACAAATCATTTCCAGAGGGGCGTCACCAACGGACGTCGCGGATAGACCTAAACCCAATCAGAGCGATGAAGGAGATGACGTATGCAGAGCGGTGGAGAAACATCCCCGAGTGTTGTTCTTTGCTCGGTTTTTAACTAAAAGCAAGCGTTCAAATGGCTTAAAACAGACGCGATAGCTGATTGGAACGAGTGATGTTCGACGGCGGCATCCATCTCTGTAATGTAGGCTACAAAATCTGCTTCAAAATCCCAGCGCTGTCGTCATCGTGTAAAGCCCGCCCCAACGTTTCTGATTGGTGCCTCGATTTCGACGGATTGGAAATGGGCTTGAATGAGCTCTTTGCCAGACTAACTTTCAGAGCAAATCTAAATTTGCCGGAAGTTGTCTGGGTTTTCCCAGGCTAGGAAAACTCCTGATTTAATAATAATAAAAACAGCTAATATTGAAAAACCGAGCCATGCAAAAACACAATAAATTATCCAAATAAAAAATAAATTAATCCAATCTTTATAATAATAATTATAATGTAATCTGACCATTTTCAGAATCAACTTAATCTTTTACAACAAATAGCACCTCACCTTAAACTTTTAGCTATAAATTGATCACATTAAATACCCAAAATAATCAGAATCACTTTTAATATATATATATATATTTTTTTTTAATTAGAATTGACACACTGTTTATTTATCATTTACTAACAACAGTATAAGCATAATTCAGCACTATAATAGCATTGACACATGGAGGTGGGCTCTTTGCCACCGGGGTCCCCGAGGTCAAGTCTTGATGAATCCAAGTATAACAGTTTCATTAAAAGCAAAAATGAAATGCGTAAAATTAACTCCATAAGTGCTGGGATAGCTGTTAAATTATAGCATTGAACTCGGGTCATAAAAGTATGCTATGAGTCAATTAAAAAAACAACTACTGCTGTACTTCCTTACTATGGCCACCAGGTAGCGCAAGAGTTTCAGTCAGGTACGGTGTTTCTGTGGTGATCAGTTCAGCTGCCCATCAAATGCCTGACGGATATACTATTCTCAACTCTCAGCACTTTCCTGCAGTTTTACCTCAACCCCAATCAAACGCACCTGAGCATGCTAATGAGTCTTCAGGGTTGTTGAAGGTCTAGGCAGGTGCATGAGTTTGATCAAGGTTGAAGCTTGATCAACTGTCATCACCACAGACGTCCTATAAAGGCTTATACATCTACGACAAATGTGTATGTGCCGTTTCACTATGTCAAGAAGTGTTAGGCCACTTCACTGAATCAAGACCTCACTGTTGATTATGTCCATAGGGGCCTTGATGTTAGGCAAGACCACATAGAGCCGATCGGTTGCTAAAAGCTCAGCATTCGTTAATCATTCCTCTCCTGTTAAAACCTCTCTCTGTGGTTGGGATAGGCACTAAGTGGTTTCTCCAAGTTACACTGTAATAGTTCATAATTTATGTGGCATTTAGTCTCGAAGTTACATCTGGTTTGGCAGCATTTCACGGCGTAAACCCCGGTGGCTCGTTAATGTGCACCAGAAAAAAACATTTCCCAAAAACGTATATTTACTTACAAACCGACTTACTGGAAATGCCTTCTAAATAGGCCTATTGGGTTCACAACTTGTTTGATATGAATGGGCGTATCAGAGGACTTCAGCACGTTCTCGATATGACTGGTGCTTGTACAGTATTTTACATTCAGACTCTTTTATCTTGCTTTGCATTTAAGGTATAGATTTTTGTTGTGTCAAGCTTTCCCTGTGAATCGAAGCTAAGCATGACCTTGGCGGTGCTACTGCTACTAGTGCCATTTTCTACTGTTTGAGCTTCAGGGAGGCTGTTTTTCCGCTTAACCCGGTAAGTACTCGGGGGGGCCAAACTATTATGTCCAACTATCCATAATGTAAGTACGATACTGTTTTCCATTCAGAGTTTGCCACTTGAAGCCCTCTTCATTCACATGAATGGTTAACTGTGAGATTTCTTTACATACAATACCTTACTGACCTTCACAATGACTCCACCGTCTTATTCTGCTTGGATCACTCAAGAGTAGCTCTATTGTTAAATTTTGGCCATAGGGAAAGAGCAATCATGTATAAGTTATGGCCAACTAATTAAAACATCATCCTAACCTATACTTGACCCCGACTCCTTTACAATGGGCTCTACAGATCCTTTTGTGCCCTGCCCTC